ACACCTCACCCCTCTATCTCTATTTGCCGTGAAGTATTGATCTGGATCGAAATTCAACACATGTTTGTCAGCTGAGTGGTCCTCTTTCCAAGATTAAATGGGACAAAATAAATGCAATAAAATAAAGAGACAGGGAATATCAGTAAATATAATAATTAAAAGGAAAATGAATTGATGTTGGATCAGCTTGACCAGACATATTAAAATCGTAACAGTATTAGAGAGTGCTTCCCCAAATCAATATGTTGTGTCAGGCAGTAGACAGTGGAAACAGCTGGAGGTAGAGACAATTCAATGTATTGGTTAAAATTGTGCAATTGAATAATTTCCATTATAAATGTGTTACTTTTTTTTACCAAGTATACACATACTATATCAATAATGAAAAAAAAAAAAAACATTTATAACTTTCACAATGATACAAATATTTGGATATGCAAACTTAATGTTAGGTTAAAAATATGAACATTTAAGAAAAATGGTCCTAACAATCATACTTTTTGAATATAAATATTTTTATAATAAAAATTTTATAAGCTTAGTTGAGTTTACTGAAGCGTGTGTTGATAGGAGCTGGATCGTCGATTTTGGTGATATTATAGTAAGAAAAGTAATGAATATTTATCATATGTATTTTCAATAACTCAATGTAGATTGTACATTATTCTGATAATATAGCATGTCTTATGGATTTTTTTTTTAATGTACCAAGCATATTATAGACTTAGTAACATCAAATTTATGTATTATGTGTTTTGCATTGATATTGGATATAGCAATATTATAATTCAAACACGTAAAACTTATTATGGGAATACAATTAATTTTAAACTTAAGGAACGTTAATTTAGATATGGAAATTACGTAGAACATTCTCAGCTTTGACTGAAATAAAATGGTACATCTTTTTTACAAATGCATTTTATTTTTTTATTTTTATTCCTAAAAGGACAAAATACAATTAACCAAAATGTTTGTCAGCTAAACTTGCAACCACAAACTTTAAAAGTCAAGAAATCAACTCTGATAATCAATGCATACGTTTCCACATCTCTATCAAATTTCTGGTAATAAATAATAATAATAAAAAAAAAAACTCAGGTAGTTTAAAATTAAATCCTACAACAATTTCTATGTACTGTACCCGTTAAAAAACAGCTAGTGGTGTACAAATGAGATTTGCACGACTTGATCTGCTTCATAACTTGTTGTAGACCTGCAAAAAAAATTGGGAGGTGCTTCACGTTAGGGGGTTGATTTAAAACTAGCATATTAAACCTTATTTAGAGGTCGAGCCTGCAAATATGCTAATTAATTTATTCGGTAAATACCTTATACATTAGTTTTTTTTTGCCAATAACGTTAACTTTATAAAAGACTCATGTAATAGCATTTTTTAGTACAGTGTATATTCATAGAATAACTCGATAATATTACATTTCTAAAATAACTATACAAATAACTATTTAGCAAACACTCATTTCATAAACCGCTAATATACTATAGTTACATTATATCTACAACCTGTTACCAGTTATCCGTTAATACGATTAGCTAGGGATAACTGATTAAATCATATTTTTTATTAGCTTGATATGTAGAAGTGTTTTGACAAATAATTATCTGCGTTAAATATAAAAAATAACTAACATTTTAAGTTTCAATTCCAAAAAACTCGTAGGACTCGTGTGGATGTTAGCTGAATGTTCGATAAAGAACTTATTTAATTTGTTTTTTCAGCCTAAAACGTGAATTATGGAAAAATTCTTTTTTTTTTTTTTCAAAGTTAACCTGAATATAATAGAAGAACTCAAACAATGTCCATAAGGTTTAGTCAAATGACTACAGACAATCATACCCTAAACAACTAAGGCACCATCATCACGGGAGGCAGCATTTAGCTTTCCCTTTAAAGCCATCTTGGCTAAGTCCACACATTCAGAAACCCAATTACAATCAAAGACAAATTTGCAAGAAATAAGCCTAGAAACTAAGTCATAAATGTCAACAGCAATGATATCATAATGGCAATTGAAGACATTCTTGTTGTTCAGTTTGAAGACAAGGTCTTTATCATCCACCAGACAAATGAAATCTTCAACATTATTCGCCACAGTTTTTTCCATTGTCCATCTAATTGCCATCAATTTACCTTCTTGCTTAGAACCTGCAAAAGCCTTAGCCTCTGACCATTTATCAACCAGCTCACCTTCCTTGATCATCACTCCTCCACAGCCTAGCCATCCCAAGGTGTTAGATAGAGCACTGACAGCTATATAAGCCTGCCCTACTCCAGCTTGAATATCTTCCACCCCAGCTACAAACAGACTGCTCCCATGGTTATGGTCTTCACTACCAAAGGACCCATTCCTCTCCACTGTTTCTGAAAATTCTACCCATTCATCTTGGGCCTTTCTAGCTATTATGTGTTCTGGGGTCCAATTCTTCTCAAACAGCCAGCCATTCCTAGTCTTCCATAACCACCACATAAGGTAGCATGAAAGACTAATTTTGTCAATGATACCATAGCCCTTCTTCCTTACACATTATCTCAAACCACCAGTTTTGAAATGATGCCTTTGTCTCACCCAATCTGTCCCATTCAACTCCAACCAACTGCCAGCAGATTTTTGCTCTACTACAGTAGAACAAAATGTGTTCTAGATCCTCCTTTTCCTCCCCACACACATGGCACCACTCATCACACTCCAACTTTTTCTGTTGTAGCTTCAAACCTGTGCTCAAAAATGCAAACCAACACCTCCAGATGAAGTTTTTGATTTTGGCTTTTATTGGAAAGCTCCAAGTGGTTTTCCACACATTTTTTAAGAGGAGTTGAAATCACTGGGTCCAGGTTCCTCCAAAGCCAACCTCTGCATGAGGTACTCATATACAATTTTAACTGATAACTCACCTTTGGAGTGCTAGTGCCAGACAAGTCTGTCCTTCTGTCCACTATGACTTAAAGGAATTTTGAGAATTGCCTCTGCATCAGATGGACTGAAGGACTGCTGTATAAGTTCAGTGTCCCATTCCTTAGTGTCTCTCAGGATCAAATCTGCTATTTTTTGAGTCTATCTCTGTCACTAGTAAATTGGTGTTCAGGGCAAAAGGATGGTTTGGATGGGAGCCAGGGAGCCTGCCAGATGCTTATACTCCTACCATCTCCCACCCTGTACCTCATTCCTAATTTCAGAGATTTTCTAGCAGCCATCCAACTCCTCCATAACCAGGAGTCAGAATTTTTACACCGAACATCCATCAAAGATTCTTTCCAGAAGTATTTGCCTTTTAGAACCTTGCTCACTAACAAATTAGGTTGGATAATCAGCCTCCATAACTGCTTAACTAATAAGGCTTCATTAAACACTCTAATATTCCTAAAACCCAACCCACCACTCTCTTTAGGTTTAGCTACCTTGTCCCATTTGACCCAATGCATTTTATTTCTCCCCACCACCCCTTTTCCCCACCAAAAATTGGCTATCTCCCTACAAATGGATTTACAAACAGCTTCAGGAAGCCTAAAACAAGACATAACAAAGGTGGGTAAAGCATCTAGGATAGACTTAATCAATACTTCTCTCCCAGCCTCACTAAAGAACCCATTTTTCCAACTACAAACTCTCTGCTTCACTCTCTCACTCATAAACTGAAAAATATCTCTCTTATTTCTGCCTATACCTTATGGTAATCCCAGGTGTTTGGAAGAGTGCACCCTAGCTATCCCATTCAACACATAACAGATATCTCTGATAGCAACAGAAGAAGTATTTTTGGAGAAGAAAACAGAAGATTTCTCCATATTGACAAGCTGACCAGAGGCCCTGCCATACTCATTAAGAATTCTTAGAACAAGATGGGCTTGAGAAACACTGGCTCTACAGAACAATATAGAGTCATCAGCAAAAAACAGGTTATTAATCATAGGAGCATGTCTGCTGATCTGAGTACCATGAAACTCAGAGTTAAGAGAAGCTTGTTTGATCAAATTATCTAGGGCCTCAGAAAGAATAATGAAAAGAAATGGTGAAAGAGGATCACCCTGCCTAAGACCTCTAGAAGGCACCACATATCCAAGGGGAAAACCATTAATGTTAAAGAGAAAGAAGATGAGCACATACAGGCCAAGATCCAAGAGATGAATTTATCACAAAAGCCCATTTTTTTACATATTCTACACAGGAAATCCCATTCCACTCTATCTTTCTGTTTTGACATGTCCAGTTTAATTGCCATGTAACTGTTTTTGCCTTTTCTTTTGCCATTTAGATAATGTATGCATTCATTAGCAATCACAGCATTGTCAATTAACTGCCTACCAGGTACAAATGCAGACTGAGTGGGTGAAATGTAAACATTAAGGACCAATTTCAATCTGTTAGCAATGATCTTAGAGATGATTTTGTACACCACAGAACACAAGCTTATAGGCCTATACTCATAAACAAGTTCAGCATTTCTCTTTTTGGGAATAAGAGTGATAGATGTGTGGTTCAAACCCTTAGGCATTTTACCATTTTGAAAGAAGTTTTTCACAGCCTCACACATTTCAGTTTTAATGATACACCAAGATTTCTGAAAAAAACATGCATTTAAACCATCAGTACCAGGAGCTTTTAAAGGTTCCATTTCCATGAGAGCCTTTTCAATCTCAGAGTCTTCAACCATTCGGGTTAACCTGTCATTCATAGCAGCTGTTATGGATAAAGGAATGCCCTGCAGGTTACAATTGTCAACAATAGGGTTAGAGGATCTGAACAAATCATCAAAATATCTACTAATTTCCTCCACAGTATCCTTCTCAGACAAGCATCTACTTCCATCCATTCTTTTCAGGTTATCAAGGGAGTTGACATTTCTTCTATGCCTGACACTAGCCTGAAAAAACTTAGTGTTTCTATCCCCAGCCTTAAGCCAATTAATTCTAGCTTTCTGTTTCCAGAAAAGCTCTTCCTCACTATAAGCTTTATGCAGCATAGCCCTACAATCCTCCCACTCATCCCACTCCCTATCCTCACCCTTCAACTCTAATGCTTTCATTTTAACTTTCAATTCATTGGTTAGCACTGCAGAGTTATTATGAGAAAGGCTATTCCAATTAATGAGACTATCTTTCACATTCTTAAGTCTTTTCTGCATGCTATACAATTTAGGACCATGCACTCTAACATTCCACCCCCTCTCAACCGCCTCCTTAAACCTTTCCCTGTTCACCCATCTCACATCAAAACTAAACCTCTTCTTCCTAGTAACATCAGATCCATTCACCAACAGGATAAGCATTTTATGATCAGAAGCAATAAGAGATATATGCTTAACAAGAGAGTTAGAATAAAGAACATTAAACTCAGGAGAAATAAAAATTCTATCCAATTTTTCTTCCACAAAATTAACCCCTTTCCTGTTATTAGTCCAAGTAAAGGGACTGCCCACAGTTTTGGAATCAATCATACCCATCTGCTGAACAAACTCTCTAAAATCCCTAAAACTGGCCACATCCCTGCACTTACCCCCATTCTTCTCAGAATTGGACATCAAGTCATTGAAGTCACCCCCCAAAAGCCATAAATCCCCCCAAGACTTACTATCATTAACCAGAAAATCCCACTGACTCTTCCTAATACTAGGGTCATTACTAGCATAAACAAAAGCCCCTCTAAAAACACCAACTTGGCCACTAATAATAAACTTAACTATAATACAAAAATCTGAGCTACTAACCTCTAGCACTGACACTCTAGAAGACCAACAAAGGTAAAGCCCCCCTTTCTACCTACTGGACAAACATAGTGCCATCTATCATCTAGACTAAGATTCTGACTAACATTTTCTACAAATTTTTCCTTCTTCTTGGTTTCATAAAGAAATAGAAAATCTGGAAGGTGAGCTCTAAGAGTCTCTCTGATTTGGAAAATTGTAGAGGGTCCTCCCAGACCTCTACAATTCCACACACATACCTTCATTGGGCACTTTGAGACCAGTTATGGCTGGTTTTCCTCCACCAAAGAAATATTCAGGTTACTGTCAACCTTTGCCTTCTTAGCCTCAGACTCAGCTTCACCTCCCTTATCAGAAGAGATAGAATCAAGATCTAAGGATCTTTTCTTGCCACTCATACTACTCTCCCCCCCAAAAACAGTAGGGTTATTCTAATCAATGACCATAAGTTGAGTATCACACTCAGACTTAAGCCTTGACGTTCTGGTTAAGATAGGTTTCTTTCTATACCCAACCCTGGGAGCCTTAGAGGATGCTTGCACTTCCACCTCAATAAGATCAGAAGTGTCATGGGGAGAATTCTGAGGCTTGTCCTCCACATTAATAGGAGGAATAAGATGGTTACCCATCACCACTGGTTCCAAGGGATTGGAGATAGGGGATGAAATATTATTATCAGAACCCAGAGCATCATTAGTATCTCCAATAGACCTCATTTGTTCATTATCAGATTTTTCCTCTGAGGCACTATTAACAAGGTTAATAGCTTGCACAGGGCTGTGGTTTGCTCTACCCTGGATACTACCACTCGAAGTACTACCAAAACTCTTCCCATCACCATAATAACCACTTCCCACCCTAAGCCAGTCCCCAAACTGGCCCAACTTAAGAACATTATTTTTAATATCGTCTCTTTTGTAAGAACAGTTTTTATCACCATGACCTAACCTCCCACAATAATAACAGAAAGTTTGGAGGTTTTCATACCTGAAGTCGATCCATTTATTCTCTTGGCCCACTTTGATGAAAGTGCCCCTCATGATGGGTTCTCTCAACTTCAGTTCCACAAGAACCCTGAGATTCTGTCCTACCCCATTCCCCGTACCTGGAGCTTGAACGTTGACCACTTCCCCCAGCTTTCTTCCAATCTTAAGCCGTGATTCTTCAGTTGTCCAGTGTAATGGTAGGTTGTGGATGTGCACCCACAACTTGACAACTTCTTCCTCCTCTAAGAAATCGATGGTTTTGGGATCCCAGGTTTTCAGGATTAAGTATTGACCGTCAAATGACCATGCTTTCCCGTTGAGGATCTTGTCTCGATCTTCGTCATTTTGGAACAAAAACTGGTATTTGTTGCACCCTAGCACCCTGATGCTGAAAGGTTGACGAGTAAACCATATGTTTCCCAGCGTGGTTTTGAGGCCATTTGCATTTATCTTCTTTTCCCCATTTTACCGACTAGACTGAGCTGACAATCTCGAAGTCCTGGTGCTATATCCTCCTCTGAGAGTTCCAAATCTTTCTCTTCTCTCGCCGATAGCTTGAATTTCTGCAATTTATCAGTAATATCGTCTGCCATGACTAAAAAGCTCGTTAGTACGTTCAGGTACAATACTAGAAACGATTACAATTATGAGAGTAATAAAACCCAAAGCAAACGCGAACCCTAGAAACGAAAACAGGAGAAATTGACCAAGTGCACAGAAATGAATCATAAAAAGAAAACTAGATAGCACCCACTAGACACACAAATCACATCATAGAAGTGGAATGGGATAAGAAATACGGAGAAACAGCCATTCGAGAAACCCTAAACAAAAGAGAGCGCTAAACAAGATTCCTACTATGTAGAAAACATGGAGGAAACAGAGATCTAGGTCTAAACCAAAGGATGGAAGCGAGAAGAACAAAGATTGCTATCAGAGAAATTCCAATGAATGGAACGGGAACCCTAAGAGGACAAAACTTCCAATAAATGAAACTGACGTGATTTTATTTTTTATGGAAAAACTCAATATATAAACACTTTGTCTAGAAGTAATTTACAAAATAACACGATGACATAACATTTTCAAAATAGATGTACAAATAGCTATATTCTAAATTCTTAATACAGTCTACTAGTCAAATAACTCATTACAATTCCAATCGGCTATATATGTTAATACAATTAACTATTTGTTATCAACTAATACCTAAACATAGTCATATTGTGCTTTCATGGAAATTATATTCCTTTATCGAAAAAACTATTTAAACCACTACTTGGCAAAAATATAAAATTAGACGGTTCATACGTGTCAAAACTCTGACGAACCCTCAAATGTCAACTTGATTTCAAAATGCTAATCACGAAAACAATCCATATATATCATCTTTGTTTATTACAATTTTAAATACATTATGCCTTGAGCAAAATAAAAGTCTCTCATGGCCTCGAGCGAGACAAACCGAAAATAGGAGGAAAAAAAATCAAGAAATGGAGACATCATCGAATTTTATTTTTGGATCATCCCAAGTTTTGAACTTGTCTCCATCCCGCCCGCTCTCTTGTCTCTCTGTGTATATATGCGTGTGTACTCTCAGACATCAGCTAACACTCTCTTACACTCAGCTCCCTTACCTAAACACATCAAATTGAGATTTTGATGTTTGATTTGTTTGAATCTAAGGCTGAGCTCATAGTAAACTTAGAGTGAGCTCGATTCCCTTCGCACCCTTTTCAATAAAATGTTGTTTTTTTCCCTTTTATATCCTATTTTTTTCGTCTATATTTCTTTTTGTTATATGGATTCATCACTTTTTATGGGCATTTTCTTGATTTTTATTTTCTGGTCTGTGGAGTTCTTATGTGTGTGTGCTGTTTGTGGAAATCTCTTTCTTCATTTTACGTTTTTGATATTCATATAAAGAAAACATTTTTATCTTCATTTTGTGTTATTTGAGGCTGTTTTGTATTTAAGATGGATGTGCACAGATTTGCGAGAGAGTGATATGATTCTGGAATTGTATTTTGTCTTTATGTCCCTTCATTTGTAAAGGGAAGCTTTTTCTGTAAAG